AAAGCACCCGAAACGTCGGGTATGAAAATTAATATAAATAAAACGCGATAAAATCCGTAATAGTAGTTTTAATCAATGTATTATGTTATTAAATTTAACATACATAGTTCAGTCATATAGCAAATTAAAAATCCATTTACATACTTTTCCAGGAATACTAAACTAATGGAAGGATCTACATTATCAAATGCACTTTGTATATCAATAAATGCACAAACTGTAGTTGCATGACAGGTAAATGAATGATTTATATCTGAGATCAAAGAGACAAAACTCTCTGCAGCACTTTTTCCTTTCCGGAAACCAAATTGTTGTTCAGGTAAAATATTATTTGCTTCTATGTAATAGTCTAATCTGGTTTTCAACATGTATTCAAATAATTTTCCTACACAAGAGGAAAGTGAAATTGGCCTGTAGGAGTTGAAGTCATGTTCTGGTTCATCAGGTTTCAAAATAGGTATCACACATTGGGTTTTCCAAGACTGGAATACATTGATTGTCCCAAAGCATATTAAAGATTTTGAAAGCAGTTTTTTGTCCATTAACATCCATGTTGCTAATAAGTTTATATGGAATATCATCGAATCCCGAAGTGGAATCTCTCCTTGATTGGATAGCTGCAGTAAATTCCAAGGAACTGGTTTTCTCATAACAAACACATTAGGTTTGGAAATTATAGGTAAACAGTCTTTCCTTATTTCTAGAAGTGTGGTGCAGAAGTTTTCAAAAGTATCAAGCAAATTGGATGTATTAATTGTGAAGTTTTCAATTTTTTTTTGTTTCAGCCTGGAACTTGGACCAGTCCGCTTTTTTATAATTGAAACGTTCGCAAGGTTTTACTTGTATGTTGTATGTACTTGGTCACCAGTGCTCCAATAATTGCTTTCAAAATATTGTCATTTGTTATAATTCGGTCAATAAGAGTGTTATTATTATACAGAAACAGAAACTTTTTTATTCAATGTAGATTATAAACAATACTTATTGAAAGTCAATTTTTTCATTTACCACTGATTCGCAAAAAAACCTCTGTCCTGGGAAGAACCAGCAAGAAACCCAGCGGGACTATTTTTTTTAAAATAATAGCTTACAATCATGTTTACACTTGACAACATAAGACAAATTAGAAATAGCTTGGTAGCGATCACCCTTCCCAGGGGTTATTATCATCCATAAATTCCTTAATATTATAATAATTTTTTTTATACAAACATAGTTTAATAAAATTTTTGAAATTTGCGTATGACAAATTTTGTATATTTTCTGGGATTTTGTTGTAAAAGCGTATACATCGCCCCAAGAATGAATTACTGACTCGGTGGAGTCGAGTAACTGGTACTACTAGCTTGTGTCTGTTCCTAGTATTTACAGAATGAATATCACTTACTTTTGCAAAACTACATTTATTTTTGTGTATGTACATTACATTTTCATAAATGTATTGAGAGGCCAGAGTTAATATATTAATTTCCTTAAATTTTTGTCTCGGTGACTTTTGGTTTTAAATTATATATTGCTCTAATGACCCTCTTCTGTAAAATAAATATAATTTCAGTGTCAGTCGCGTGTCCCCATAGCAAAATACCATACGACGTAATGCTATGGAAATAACTAAACTATTCTAGTTGTTTCAACACTGGTAAGAGTTCTAATATTTTTTACAGCATATGCTGCAGAAATAAGTCTGCTAGCTAGTTTTAGAGCCATTGAAGCTTTGCGTCGAGTGTGATTCCAAGAAAAATGGTGGTATCAACAAGACTCAGTTCTTCCCCATTTAAAATTACAATAACATGTTTGACATTAGGAGTTACGAATTTCATACATGTTTTAGTTCCATTTAAATGCAAATTATAATAAACCAATTGACTAACTTAGCTATAACATTATTTACTTCGTCATAATTTAATAACTGGTGTTTTAATTTGAAAATAAATGAAGTATCATCAGCAAATAATACTATATTATCATGGTTATCCCCTACTATGTAAGTTAAGTCATTAATACATACAAGAAACAGAAAGGGGCCGAGATCAATCTCAGAACCCTGAGGCACGCCCATTTGTACAATCGACCTGGACGAACTCATACTATTAATGTTGATTGTCGGTCGATTAATATAAGTCAAAAAAAATGTATAAAGTAGATCCGTTATTGGCTGTAAGTTTATTTCTTAAGTTTTATATACGTTGTAATTAGAGCTGTGGATCTTGTAATAAATAAATAAAATAAAAAATAAAATAAAATAGACAACTTTTTGCGTTCTGTCACTTAAATATGAATTAATAAATTTAAGAGCATCACTTCTTACGACGTAGTGTTAAAGTTGATGAACCATTATTTTCACTGTAAAAGGAAATTACCTAAATTATCGGCGTCTTGAACTCTTGAAGCTTGATTCCTGTCGCCCCGTTAGTATCATAGACAAACACTATATACCAGGAAGTTAGTATCGCTTAGGCTTTTGAAGGGAGAAGTTGTGGCGCTTACGATCAGAATACACATTACGCAACAGGACGACGTAAAATTAAAATGGGAAATAACCGTGATAAAAATAAGAAGCGACTGGGTTCGCGTTAAAAAACAGGCATAAATATGATAAACCTAATCAAATAAGTCTAACTGTTATTTCGTAGACTGATCCCCTTAAATTACTATGTAAGTCGCATATGCTAAAAGTCGAAAGTCTGATTCTGAGTTTAGTTTTCTAACTCACGAGATGGACGCCGACGAAGAACTTGTTGTGCTCTACCACTTACGAAGAAAATTAAAAAAGTTGAAAAAAAAGTCAATTCCAAGAAAATACTGGATGCACCCAATCCTAACAGAAAGATCGACTTTAGGAAGTTATAAAAATTTAATACATGAATTAAAAAATGACGAACGAAAATTCTTTAATTATTTTAGAATGTCACAAGCAACTTTCAACGACCTACTGTCAAGAGTTTCTGCGAGCATCACGTATCGGAATACGACATTTAGAGACTGCATTTCGCACATTGAGAAGAAGAACGTCACTAAACAAAAAATGTAGTTTTGAGGAATAAGCATTTAAAGTATGAAAAAATGACACCATTGCAGTTTTTGACTTCGAAACTATTTTTTGATGCTGTTTTCACTAAAAATAATAGAAAACTATTTTAATATTATAATTTACTTTTTATTATTAATTTCTTTGACTTGTAATGTTGATTTTTTTATAAAAATTTGTTTAGTGTCATTCTTCTTTTTATTATTACTGCAGAACCAGTGACAAGTTGTAGTCATAAGAGTCACAAAAGCGATGTAATTTTTTTAAAATTACATTACTAATTTCAAATTAGTTGCGAAATATCGAAAAATAAAACAAAGGAATACATAGTTATGTATTTTTTATTGTCTGACAGTTATCTTTGGGAGTGTTAACTATTACTATCAATAGTAATGGTGACTAATTTTATGAATAATTATTCTAATTGTAAGCTTACCAAATCAGTCTCCGTAGTAAATAATCATTAATCTGTCGTTATTTATTAGAATATTAATATTATTTTACTTAAGTATTAGGAACATTATAGATCAAGTACTAAACTACCAATCTAAAAACTAAAAATAATAATTGAGTACCAAAACATTTTTTATAAAATCTATAAAAATCAATAGTCAAACTAAAGAACATTTACTGTTAGAACATAATTAAGGCATAAATGTGTAGCAAAATAAAGTATAACAAGTTACATAGCAAATCAAATAACATGAGATCAGTTAAAAATTGAAATCAATTAAGAACAAAATTGTAGAAAGAAGATGCATAGTAAAGTGGAATAGCGCGCTCGCTAATAAGTTTCTTCAGGTCGGCTTTTTTAGCAGCAGATAAAGGTATTCTTGATGAATATAATTGTTTTAACAGAGGTCTGGCCCGGCTTAATTTTTGCAAATTTATTTCTTAAAATGCATCTTGTAAATAAGAAGTTTTATAAAAAACTCTTATGCCATCAGACACATTTTCCGACATTTTAACTTTTAAAACTTTAATATCACTAGTCTTAACCTTTTCTCCTTCTTTATTTTTCACAAGTTTATATTCTTGTAGGCTCTTTATGTCATAAAATTCGTAATGACTCATTTCCTTTACTATATATTTATTTCCCCTTTTTTTTGCATCTCTTATAGCACTTACATACTGGTCTGGAACATAAATTGGTCCTGACCGTAGATTCTTTTTAATTTGTTTTTCAATCGTGGAATGTGCAGCATCTCCTTCATTCTGAGTATGCCCTTTTATCAAGAATTTATGCGTTATTGACCGAATTTTATCGAGATTCTTAACTGCATAAATGTACATAGAAAATACAAACTGGTTTTTCTGCTGCCCACCACAATTGTCACTGTAAAAAATGAAATCTAATGCCTCAGATGCAGCTGCTGTTTTATCTTGTAAATACTTTAAAACACAAGAGCCTATTTCATTGGCACCTCTGTCTCCTTCAACCTCAGTCCAAAAGAAACATTCAGTATGATCCTTTGCCAATTCACAAATTGTAAAATTTAAACAATTCAATCGGGATCTATAATAAAACTGACTCGCATTACCTTTAGGTACTTGTAGAACAGCTTGTAAATCGTAACAGGCTACTATGTTTTTTTCGCTTACGGCTTCCTTATCTTTCAATTTTTCTACTCGGCTTTTTTCTTTTTCTTGTAAATGAATTCTGTGTTCTTCTTCGAGCTTTTCCTTTTCTGAAGGTTGTGAATTTTGATATTTAATGCAGTCTCCACATTGGTCTTTCTTCGGAATATAAAAACTAATATTAAATTCTTCTTTAAAAAATTTTCGGTACGTGTGGATTTTAACATATGGCAGTCCGTTCTTTTCGCAATCATTTTTATAGTCTGTGTGTAAATCGGTTAGTGTTTTTCCTCCATCAATATATTCTCTGCTTGTTTGTTTCCTTAATAAATGACTTTCGATTCTAGGTATGCTATTTATGTGCTGTCGGACTCCATCTAACAATTCCACTTACTACTACTTGACGATGTTTGTTATGTTTACCTCGAAGTTCTGGTTCAACGATTCCTGACGAATTCAATTTTTCAATCACGGTGCGAATAGGTCTGTCATTTAATCCCAATGTATTTTTGAAAAAGACTTTGCAAACTTTAATTTTTTCCCCATCTATAGTGAAATAAAAAGAATGTTTAGGTTTTCTATTGCTATCAATTTTTTTGTATTGGTATTTAGGCTTGATTTCCCTAATATGTCTGGATATAAATTCTCTTTGTTTAACTAGAGATCCCATGCTCCAGTATCGTTTAAAAATAATTTGACGCTGTTCCTCCGAAATCCTCTCCTTACATTTTTGTCGGCAACCATCACCGCAAGGATTTCCTATTTTTCTACAAGATTTAACAACATTTGAGGTAGATGTATATGATTGCCCTAAATTGCGCAATGTTTTTGCCAAGGCTTTTTTGTTTATTCCTCGTTTTCTTTTGCGTGTCTTTTTAGGAGAAGAGTTAGAATTTTGGCACTCCGCTGAACGAGAAGCAGACAAATAAGATTGTTGATGTGTAATTAATGAGGTGACAATTTTCTGTGCAAGAACTTTTAGTGGTAACGGTTCATTCGAGTTATGGAATTTTCGGACATCCGTTGAAATTTCTGTAGATAAATTTAAAGCACTTGGACTGGTGTTAAGTAAATTTTCAGAATGAGGGAAGTGTCCAGAAATGTTATTTGTATTCATATTTGATTCTATAGAAGAAACTTCATTAAAATGAGATGTGTAATCTTCTGAATCTGATGATACAGATTTTTCGGCTAATTGCATTGAGTTTGATGAAGTTTTTGGTTGAGGGGGGGTAAGTATTTACAACCGGAGAACTATAGCGTTTTAATTTAGCTGGTGAAGGAACAAAATTACTATTTTTTTTACATTTTGAGGAATCAGACTCGGAATCTGAGCTAGAAGAATCTGAGCTGGTGTTAGAGTTGGATTTCGAAGTATTAGAAGATGACGACATAGAAGTTGATCTTGACGAGACGGATTTAATTGGACACTTTGTTTCTTCCAAAGATTTGATTGGCTGAGAGAGGTAAGTTTTATGTTGTTTTTGTTTATTTTGTCGCTTGAAATCATCGTCTGAAGACGAACTGTCAGCTATAGATGGGGGTATATACTCCCTATCATCATCGGAAGCAGGCGAAAAATCTTGATCAGACTTTTGATCGGAAGAGTAGGACGATCCTTTATCACGTAAACTTTGGTGTACATTATAAGCACGTTCATTTAAAGGTATGTTTCTTTTTGAAGTAGAAGGTACAACTTGATTTTCTATCGGTTCTTTCTGGTCGGTTGGGCTTACTGGTAATAAATTTTCTTTTTCTACTTCGATATTTGTCGAACTATTTTTTTGGAGATCTTTAATAATTTCTTTTAATGCTAGACTTCTGGAATTTGGTAGTGACATTTTGACTGAAATAGAAGAGAAAAAACATTAAAATAATATCAATATTGTGTAGTTAAACAAAATGTGGCTTTATGTCTTAAAGTTTTTTGTATTATCTTCAAATGATGACGTGAATAACTGTTGCTTCCAGCAATATGTCGATATGATACTGTTTTTTTTTTACAAAAAAACTAACTTAAATAAAATAAACTTCAATTTAAAACGACAATCTTCAAAAAAGTACAACAACTAATTTTATACTATTTGCTACTTAATTGTAGGCACTAAACGAAATATGACTCCTTTACTTTCAATCAAAAACTTAATTTCTAGTTTGGTATTATATGAATACTGACATTTAATGCAAAATGTCATAAAGATTTTAAAAAAACATATCAATATTAAAACAATAATGTATTTATACTCAAAATGACACTATGTAACTTTGTATTTCGACACTTTGTGGTGTACTAAATTGATAGAATATCGACACTATTCATATAAAGACGTTATTACTTCAAGCAATCTTAAAAACTTACCAAAAAGTTTTACTACACAACGACACTATCCAAACAACAACGTTATTCTTCGTAGGCCCTGTAGTGATACGCGTCGTGTCTCTGTCACTACTAAAAAAATGCCGCTCTTTCTTGTCCTAAAGCGTGCCGCCCCGCCAGAAAACCATAACGTCACTACGCTATCTAGCCACAATTAGAGGAACTACGACAAAACGAGTCTTTGCAATACAGAGATTGTTTTTTGAATAAAAAAGATGGCGTTTTAATGTAAAATTACCTTAGTTTTGTTTAGTGACGTTCTTCTTCTCAATGTGCGATTTGTACTGAACAAAGACTGTCGATATTTTTTAGGTAAGTGTTTTTTTTTAGAACCACACTACAACTGCTACAAATATTCAGATTGTATTTGTAGTGTAGTAGTCTGATTGTAGCAGTTGTAGTGTGATTTCTTAGGTGTATTGAAATTGAAACAAAAGTTATTTTAACTTGTTTATTTTAAGTAGGTAAACAGCGCAACATATTACAATAATTCAAAAATCGGAGAAATTTAATTCAGTACTTTCCGACCAAGTAGATGCAGCAGGCGATCCTTCCTCATACGTTTGACGTCTTTCATATCCAGACCCATGTGGTGTAAGAACAGCCTGGTTTTGAGAGGAATATCCGGATTCATCGGTAGATAAATAATTATAGTTCTGTGTCGAATACCCCGATCGCCGTGTGCTATCACGCGCGTAATTATAATTATTTGCATAAAGTCTGTTTTCACGTTTCTTTTTGATTTGTTGTATCAGTGATAATACACCTGTGAACTCCAACGTTTCGCCATCGTCGAAAGACGTAACAGAGGGTACCTTTAAAAAATGATAAAATTGGGGGATCAGTTTGTTGTGATAGCCTGCTGTCTAAAAACTCGCTCATTTTGACATCTAAGTCCATTATATGTTGCTGTGGTGGCATGGTCTTTTGTCTTTTAGAAGTGCTTGGTTGCGAATTTTCAGACAACTGAGTACTGCCTTCTGTCCCTGGTTGAGATATACGCGACGCAACAGACTCTTGAGGAGGATTAGGTCTAGCAACTTTACGCAAAAAATCCATTTGCTCTTTATATACATATGGCTTTGACGACTTTGCCCCTGATCCTGATTTTTTTTTCATCATTTTTGTTTGTTTGGATCCAGACATTCCGTAAGTTCCATATTCAAGGAGACTACCTTTTGAATTTGATAAGAAACTGAATGATGGTAGTTTAAACATACTGTTACGCGCTCAAGTCGACGGCACTAGCGCCATCTAGTCTCGAACCGAAGAACTAAACTTCTTGAAGTTGAATCACGAACTCTCGGTACCTTGCGCGTGTTTACTTGAATATTCTGGATATTTCGCTGCTAATTTATATAAATAGGCGCTGCAAGATGCGATCGGGGAAGTATTGGATTTGGCGAGACAAGCGAAGCTTCGGAGCGAAATAAAGTGATCCAGTGTGCTTAATTATTAGTGTTTTAAGTTTTAATTTGTGTAAAGGAAATTAAAGTGTTAATTTAGGTAATTTTATCGGCGATATTTATTGTCACGAACCTCAAGCTCGTAACAATTGCTGTCAGAAGTGGGATAAAATCATGCCGATTTTACCTAAGGAGGAAACGGAGGGTGTCCGTACCCGAAGTCAACGCCAGCAGGAGACGGACCAAAGAAGATTTGGTGGTGCAACGTCGCAGACGTCGGAGGGCCAGCCACCGGCTGCAGGCCTCTCGGTAGCTCCTACATCTGCAGCACCTGACTTAGGTGCTCTGATGGTGATGCTGCAGGAGCAGGCTCGCCGACAGGAGGAGCAGGCTCGCCGACAGGAGGAGCGGGCTCGCGAAGAGGGGGGGGGGGAACAGGCCCGTCGGTTGGAAGAGCAGATGCTCCTCATGAAGGACCTTCACGCTACCTTCGGGAAGGAGATAAAGGAGGTGAAGGATAGGGTTGCTCAGCATGACAACCGCCTGTCGGAAGCTGAAACCCAAATCGCGAAAGCTGAGAACCGAATCGAGAAAGCTGAAACCCGAATCGACCAAGTAAACAATCGGGTTGACAACGTAATGGCTGACATGAGGAAATCACTTGACGAACTCAAACTTGGGGAGGGAACTACAGCTCCCGTAGTAGCTACTACACCTTCGCTACGTGGGTTCAAGGTGCCACCGTTCGACGGTACCTCTTCCTGGTCAGCCTACAAAATTCAGTTCGAGGCTGTTATGAAGGCGAATGGCTGGAATAAAAGTCAGGCCATGACTGCTCTCACACTAGGCCTGCGCGACCAGGCCTTAACAGTTCTGGAAGCTCTCGGTGAGGAAGTGACTTATGAGCAACTCCTTGAGGCATTGGAGGCGAGATATGGCGACGCTCACCTGGAACACGTCTTTCGTGCGCAGCTTAAAGATCGTGTACAGCGCATCAACGAAAACCTGCAGCAGTGGGCTCTAGAAGTGGAGAAGCTGGTGCGAAAAGCATACCGGTCTGTACCTGCGCTCATTGAAGGGAACCTGGTGCAGACATTCATCGACGGCATCCGCGACCTGGAAGTCAGAGCTGCTGTGAGGCTCGGGCACCACGAGACGCTTAAGGACGCCTTGGCCCATGCACTGGAGGTGGAAGCCGTGCGGCAGGATCATCGTTCCCATCGCCTCAGGGAGGTTACAGCAGCTACAGTTCGAGACCGCAACAAAGGATACAGCCCTAGGTGCTATGGCTGTGGGGAAAAGGGCCATCTTCGATCCAGCTGCCCTAAGCGAACCGCAGAAAGGGAAGGTGAACGATATCAGGAGGGTAGTGCGGCCAACAGCACCGCCCAGCATCAGCAGGGAAACGAGTAAAAGCCAGAACTGCGGGGCGGGTGCTGGCTGATGTTAAAAGAGCACAAACCCACGATGGGAACAGTCTAATCATCAAGGGCGAGGTCAACGGAATGCCGTGTAAACTGACCATAGACACTGGAGCCTCTCGTATGGTTGTTAGGTCCCAACTAATAAGTCAGTTCCTTGGGGACTCCGCATACAACCGAGAACGCATTAATTTGGTAACAGCCACCGGTCAGCGTATACCCGTCCGTGGAGAGAAGGAGATGGAGTTGAAGCTAGGCAACGTGATCTACCTGCATAATGTCATCGTGGCTGATATAATGGACGACTGCATCCTGGGCTTGCAAAGCAAGGTGTTTTGAAATGTGGACAGGAGGAACTTTTTATGGAAGGTGCGTTACCAGGGAACGTGTACAGCATTAAGAAGATTGTTCTTCCGCCGAGATCGGAAACGATTGTTCCGGTTAGTCTTCCCCGAAACGCTGGGCAAGGTCACCGTTGTGTACTTGTGGAAAGGGTAAACAATGACCTTCCATGGAAAGTAGCTCGAACCTTGGTCAGAACCACTGACATCTCAAGAGTACGTGTGCTGAACCTTTGTGACCGGGAACAGATTATAGAAAAAGGCACACTGGTTGGTACTTGCGAGGAAGTGGATTGGTTACGTCGGTGCCAATATATATCGAGTGGGACCCCCAGCGAGGATTGAGAAACGAGAGTGACCACACTTTTGGAAGACTGTCGCAGTGTTCTCTCCCCGAACGAATTGGTCAAGGCGAAGAAGTTGTTACTCAAGTACGCCGATGTATTCTCGTCAAACGATGCTGACATAGGAAAGACTGGCTTAGTTCAACACAAAATAAACACAGGAGAGGAGTTGCCTATCCGTCAGCGGCCAAGAAGATTGCCGGTAGCCCGTGAAAAGGAAGTGGAAACCATGATTGAGGGAATGGTGAAGGATGGTGTTATTGAACCTTCATCTAGTCCATGGTGTTCACCCGTGGTGCTGGTAAAGAAGAAGGATGGCAGCATGCGGTTCTGCGTTGATTACCGCCGTCTGAACGACGTTACAAAGAAGGACAGCTATCCCTTGCCAAGAATTGATGACACGCTGGACATGCTTACAGGAGTAAAATGGTTTAGCACGCTGGATCTAAAAAGTGGCTACTGGCAAGTAGAAATTGACCCTAAGGACAAGGAGAAAACTGCGTTATCGACGGGAAAGGGTCTGTGGCAATTTAAAGTAATGCCGTTTGGGTTGTGCAACGCTCCAGCAACGTTTGAAAGGCTGATGGAACTTGTACTTACCGGGCTAACTGGCGATGCCTGTCTGGTCTATCTTGGATGACATCATCATCGTAGGCCGTACGTTTGAGGAACACCTTCAAAACCTGGAACACGTGCTCATGAAGAGAGCTCAGAGTGCCAACCTCAAGTTGAGCCCAAAAAAATGTTCACTATTCCAATGGCAAGTTAACTTTTTGGGGTTTGTAGTATCGGAAGAAGGTATCCGCACAGATCCAGAGAAAATCGCCGCTGTCAAGGATTGGCCGGTTCCAAAAGACAAGACGCAGGTTAGAGCATTTTTGGGTTTGTGCTCCTATTACCGGCGATTTATAGCCAAACCTCTGCACAAGCTAACAGAGGAGAAGCGACATTTCTGCTGGGATGAAAGTTGCAATATCGCATTCCAGGAGCTCAAGGACCGTCTGTGCAAAACACCTATTTTGGGATACCCTGATGCAAGCAAAGAATTTATATAGCTATAGCTATATAATATACCCAAGCAAGATGAAATAATTAAAATAAAGGATTCTAGCGGTTTCGACACATATAAAATTTAAATATTTTTTACAGCATATGCGCAAAAACAAGTTTTCTAGTTAGTTTATAGGTCCCACCAAAGCTTCGCGTTAACTGTAATTCCAAGAAAAACTGTTTTGTGCCGTCTTAAAATTCTATAAAAATTAAATCACTCTATCACTCTATGCTTTGAGATTATTTGACGTTTTACCCACCAAATTTGTAAATTTTTATTTAATTTTTTATGTAAGAAAACTATGAACCATATTATAATGTGCATATTTGAGTTTAACAAATTGGTCATTAAAAATATACAGAAGAAAGTAAGATATTGTTTCCTTATAATAATCGTTACACTACCTATTCCACTACATTTCGCTGTGTAATGTCCACTAGCCCGAATTGTCCCGTGGGTGTTGTAAGAGATGACAGAGGTAAATGAATCAGGAGATGGGCAACAGCTTCCTGGTAACAACTGCTGTTCCTGTCCCGCCTGCCAAGTGTGTAAACCTTGGCAAATATATGACGCGATTTATGAGATAGAACTAGATTCAACAGTGGACTTTAGATAGATTTATAGGTAAGTACTTTTTAGCATTCATTAAAAATTTGCCGTTTAGAATTCGTGTACAGGACGGTTACACTTATTTGCCAATTTTATGAAATTACAAGCTTTTTTATGTAATAAGATTTAACAAATAAAACCTGTGTGATAATGATGGTAAATTGATGCTGTGTGCGCGCAGATACGTTGTCACCGTTGAGGACTAAGAAGATATGCCTTGTTTTCCTTGAAAAGGGTCTTCTGTTCTCTACACTCACAGTACGAAACACAGCAGAATTAAGCTGCTACTAACAGTGGTATTCTTTGAGAGCGGTGTCCTTCCCCGATTAAGCTGACCTATCCATGTGGCAGTTATAATAGTGTTTTAGCAACAACGAATATGTCTTACTACGGTTGCTTAAGTAACTATATTTTTTTTAAATATTTTAACGGATTAGTAAGCTGAAGTGGCAATAGGCCGGCCATATAGCTCGTAGAACCGACAACCAAAAAAAAATTCTCGAGTGGCAGCCTCGTACCTGTAGGCGAAGTGTAGGGCGACCCTCCACTAGATGAAGTGACAACCTGGTAAGACATGCAGGAAGGCGATGGATACAGGCGGCTTAGGACCGTGCCTTGTGACATTCCTCGTGGTAGGCCTATGTTTAGCGGTGAAGGGCTGTAATGGATGATGATGATTATGAATTTTTCAACTAGCTGTGACCGGCGTGCGTTGCACTTATTTTCGTAGAAAAATACGCGGGGCCGCTCGTTACTTCTTATCACTATTTACAATGTAATCGGAATAGTATGAGTATACATAGTAAAACACGTGCCGGACATACAAAAAACGTTCATTTTTATAAATAATTATACGCGTATACAAATTCAGTACATTTACAATGTAAACAATTGTATCTGGCTACCCATAACCTGAACAGATATGAGGTATAATGTGGTGTGGAGTAGTAGGTCTCGCAAAAGGAATCATTCCTAGCCCTAGACAAGACAAGATATCTGAGTTTTTTCTGTAACTCCAAAAACTAGAAAAAATAAGGTTAAGGCAATCTCTACATAGTATAAAACAAAATCGCTTCCCGCCGTCTGTACTGTGTTTTAAACCACGCAACGGATTTTGATGCTGTTTTCATCAATAGATAGAATGATTTAAGAGTAAGGTTTATATGTATAATACTTGCATATGCCGACTATGCCGATGTATGTTACCCAGATCTGTCAGAAAATCTTCTAAACAAGTTGGAGCGCCTTCTTAATAATTCCATAAGGTTTATTTTTGGTTTACGTAAGTATGACCACATATCATCCTATCGTTCAAAGCTTAAATGGCTACCTATACGTCAAAGGCGATGCTCTAGAATTTTACTTGTACTTTATTCAATTTTAAACGATCCAAGGTCGCCTTCTTATCTTAAGGATAATTTTCATTTTTTTCATCCGATCGACGGTCGAACATCCCGACAGTCAAACCGTCTGAGGTTAAAGTTTCCACCGCATAAGTCAAATTTTTTTGGGTCGTCTTTTACGATACAAGGCTATAGGTACAACTTTGGAACACCCTCCCCAACGATATTAAGAATGCCACAAATAAAAAAGTTTTCAAAGTTCTTCTCCGAGAACATTACCTGAAGGCAACTACTAATTGACATTATTTTTCCTTAATTCTTGTCTTTCTTTTCTTCTTTGTTACTTCAAATATTTATTTCATTAGATGTTATTCAAAGATTATATTACATATATCATTCATTTGGATATTTATTTACGAAGTTTATAAGCATGTATATATATATATATTAAATATTATATATATGTATGTATGTATTATTGTACGTATATTTATACTATATGTGTGTATATTTAAATGTATTGTGTATGTATGTACTTTGCATATATGTATATTTTAATGTATATGCACTTATTTATGTATAATGGTCGCACCTGCCAACAATTGTCCTTGGCATCCAAGGTTGACTGGCAGAGAATACCACATGGCATTAAGTCCGCCCTATGTACCCTTTAGCTTAAGGTGTTACATGTAAGTTTTTAAATAAATAAATAAATGTGTTGTCGAGATCCAAAAATCACCCGTGCGAATCCAGGGATTGTTAGTATATTAAATTAAGGTGCAGTGGTAGTAGTATGAAATAATAATAAAATTTGTGTTTAAATATTATAATTGTCATCTGAATTTCAGGTTCTCTGTATGCGTACATTCCATGAAAACTCTTCGAACCCACTGAAGATGCCAGATATGAATCGCATTTCTGATAAGTAATGAAATTAAATTTGTTCTATGATTTTTATTATTTATTTCTTTATAACAAAGTTAAGCTCGCATTAGGAGCTCCTCATGTCTTATGGAGGCGTGTTAGATAGACAAGTTCTGGGCGAAAATAAAACCCGCAACCCGCAACACTTCACAGCCAAATTTCTTACAGAGCCGTACCATATGTACCTATTTAAAATTTATTTTAATTTAATTTAATGAAAATCATTAAGCGAAAACGAGCACACAGCTCACCTAATGGTAAGTGAATGCTGTGGCCCATAGACAGGGACAACAACACACACACAATGACAGAGGAAAGATCAAAATGCAAATGCTTTGTCACGCCTGAGAACTAAGATGGAATGCCTCGATGCCAGTAAAAAGGGTCTCCGGTTCCCTACACTCACCATATGAAACACAACAGCATTAAGCTACTATTTTACGCTGGTATTCTGTGAGAGCGTGGTCCTGCCCCGGTTGAGCCGACCCATTCGTGCTACAACTATAATTTAACTGTAGCGTGGCTCCACCAGGTAAAATTTTTTTTCATTACATAAAATTCTCTAAAATTTTTCTAAAAATTCTTTGAAAAAAAGGTTTTCAGTTGCTGACAATAGATATCTGCCGTAATCGTTTGGCCAGATTTTAGAAAGCTGTGGTGAACGATACCGGCGCTAGTTTACCAAACACTTACAAGTAACTTTTTCTGAGTCAATTTTCGTTTAGGACAGGATTTGGCTGGGTCTCCAGGGTCCAGCCATTGCGACGAGCACTTCCGATTATCTTACAGTATCCATTTTTCATCACAAGTAATGATTCGATTTAAAATCCTTTCATTTTTGTGTCGGTTGACCAAAGTAACACAACAGACGACGCGTGTTTGCAAGTTCGATTCACTCAATTCATGAGGTACCCATCGTTCAAGTTTTTTACTTTCCCGATTTGCTTCAAGTGGATTAATACAGTTTTATCACTTACCCCGAAGCCTGCAGCTTTATCTCTGAAGTGCTTTGTGATGAATCCGCGTACACAATAGCCTTTAATTCTTCATATTCCACTGTGGTCTCTGGCCGTCCACGGGGTTGGTTCTGAAGGTCTAAAACGAAAACGTTGAAACCAAAAACGTACCTTGCTTTCTTTTGCAACACCAGCGCCGTACACATCATTTATCCTTCGAGCTGTTTCTGCAGCACTGGTGCCACGGTAGAATTCGTACACGTAAAAATACCGATTTTCATGTTTTCCGTTGTGCGGTAATAAGTGACGTCAAAGAAAAAAATAATGAGGAACAAACAAATGAATGACTGTTTTCAAAACTCAAATGTACCAGCTAAATGTATTTATAAATTTTAATTTGGAATTTTTAACCAAAGAGGATATATTTTAGATCAAAGTGGTCAGTACGACAAAACGCTAATTTCATATGTAATATATAAATTGAATATGTTACATATGTAATTTCATATGTGTCTTCATGCTTTTTATTTTTTACATGAGATTTCCTATTTGCTGCAAAAACATAAAGAACACTTTTGAAATGAAAAATGCACATTTCTTTTGAGGTCCTGGAAAAAAATCGGTTGTATTCTATTTTCTCGAACAGTAGCGTCGGGAAGATTAGTAAAGGGATGTTGTGACGGCGCTCAGCTACAAAGCCGTGTTTTACAAATCAACGCTAAAGTAATGGCACTACGTTTGCTTCTCGAGCAGGAATACGTGTTACTGAGAACAATTATTCGAATACGCCAGTTTTGTCTAGCTCCAGGACCACTTTTAAAGTTGTAAAGGCGATATCCACGAAAAATAATGGTTTACTTTTTAATGTTTCAGGGCGATAAATTTGCTCTCTCAAATGGTAGAATGGTAGAAAGGTAGAAGCGTGGCGTGGACGAATTTCGAGTCAAGTAGAAATATAATTTTTATAGAAAGTACACCTGGAAAAGGTTGTACGGTTAGAAATGGCGAATAAACTTAAGGACATTAACGATATCGTAAAAAAATGTAAAATTTTGCTTTTGAACATCGAAGGAACAACAACATCGATCAGCTTTGTTAAGGATAAGTTATTTCCGTATGCAGAGGAAAAAGTAAAACAGTTTCTTGAAAGCCAGTGGGAACACGATGATGTTAAAGAAGCTGTTACAGCTCTCCAGAAACTTGCTTTGGAAGATAAATTCCTGGAGAGGATGCATCAAAGGAGGATCAGATTGAGGGTGTGGTGAATTATGTGAAGTGGCAGATGTCTGCTGACCATAAGGCGGGCCCATTAAAGCAGCTTCAGGGGCTCATCTGGAAGCAAGGCTATGATAATGGTGATATTAAGGGGCACGTTTATGATGACGTATCACTGGCCCTTGAGCAATGGCAATCTGTTGAAGGACAAAAAGTCTATATTTACTCTTCTGGTCAAGTCCAAGCACAGAAGCTGCTCTTTGGTCAATCTGAAGCGGGAGATCTCCTACGATTCATAGGAGGACACTTTGACACCGCTGTTGGCGCTAAGCAGAGGCGGACAGTTATTCTGCGATAACAGAGAGTATTGGCTGCAAACCTGATGAGATTCTGTTCCTTACTGATGTTCTAAAAGAGGCGGAGGCGGCGCGCGCGGCAGGGCATCACGCGGCGCTGGTGAGCCACGAGGGCAACGCGCCGCTACCCGCCGGCGCCGGTGCCGCCTTCGCCGTGCTGCACAGCCTGGCGCAGCTCGCCTCCAACAAGCGCAAGACCGAAGCACAGGACGAGCTGCCCCCAAAAATTGCCAAAACTGACAACGAGGGCAATGCCAAAAGTGAACCAGACGTAGAGCCTGTCGTCTCCGCCAGTGTGGAAAAATCAGAAATGGGGAAGAAAAAGTTATTGGTTCTGCAAAAGAAGTAAAGGAACAAAAAGAAGCTGAGGCTGAATGTGTAGTAACAGAGACCATTGTTGAAGAAGTTACTGATGAACCAATGGATGTTCCTGTAGCTGATGTAGAACCTATTGTCATTGAAGAGATTGTAGAGAATACTGAAAAGAAAAAGACCGATGAAATGGTAATTGATTCCACAAAATCCGAACCGTCTACGACTGAATCCAAAGGAAAGGAAGATATGGTTGATGAAAGGATAAAGGAGAATTCGCCTAAGAAGGCTGCTCCTGTTGCCGAAGAAACTCCGACTACCGTTATTACTGAAATCGAAGAAGTAACTAATGAAAAAGTTTTAAGCGAAGCTGAAGATATAATTGATGATATTGAACCCCTAGTTGAAGAACCTCCAGCAAATGAAGACATGGAAGTCTTACAAAGTGCTGGAGAGGTTCTAGAAAAGGAATGTGATGAAATTTTATCAAAAGTTAAAGACGTTACTAACTTGGACACTATGTCCGTAAAACCCTCACTTAATCCTATTGCTGAAGAAACTATGGAAACTGGAGATTCTAATGATACAGTTGATAGAATATTAGATACCGCAATACAACAAATGAAACAGAATGAAAAGAGTGAAAATGTTGATACAAAAAAAAACTGAAATAGATGTGAAGGAAGAAACAGAAGCACTTACGGTAGACGATAAAAAGAGATCGGAAGGTTCTACTGACAAAGCATTAGAAACAAGCCCAGAACAAAAATTAAGAGAACAAATGGAAGAAAAAAAGAATGAAGGAATAGCTAAAGAATCAGAGAAAGACCCTGAAAATAGTAAAGCAGAGTCAAAAGAAGACAATATAACTAAGAAAACTAATAAAGGCGAGACTGGAAGTACAGAAGCGTCTGCTGAAGTAAATGTAGAACATACAAAATGTAGAAGATACAAAAGTTCCTTTAGATTCAAAATAAAATACTTTAGGGGTCGAAGTAAAGCCTGAAAGTGAATCAACAGAGTCACAAGTGAATGGGAAAACAAATGGAGAAACTGTACCTGTTAGTTTGAATGGAGATGCTAGCAAAGATGAGAAATTGAGTTCTCGATTGTCAGCTGAAAATGGTAAACAAGAAGAAGTAAATGGTTCCAATGGTGACGCTGTTGTAACAGAAAAAGTCCAAGTAATAAGGTTGAAGCTGAGGTGTCCGATATCAAAGTCAAAACTGTTCCGACTGAGGAGCCACGCACTGATCCAATAGAACAACCTACGGAAGCATAAAATTGTGAGCAAGATAGAAAAGATTCAGGAATTTGTAGCATTGTTGGCTCACATCAGAAGAATGACAAGACTGAGGTTGCTTCCACACTAATTGACATCACTTCCTAGTTTATATGTATTGAATTTCCACTGTGTACCGTTTGTGGTGACTGGTTTCGTACATTGTCCACTCCTAAGAAATATCGCAAAATTCCTTAAAAACTATGCATAAATAATTACCGAGTATGTATAATTGAGTAAGGTATATTATGTCTAAGCTATGTTTAAATTTTATTAAATTGAGTCATCGCTGATCTGATTTGTAAGATGCAACCGTTCAATTGCTTCTAGGTTGTACAAGACAAATAGGAAAGTGTGTGAAATTTTATAAATTTACCAGTATTTCTACGGATTAGGTGTATTTATGTGTAGTCTAGACATTCATATTTGGGGGGGGTGTGTTTTGGGCTTATTGAAAGTTATATTTGAGAACCTGTTACTTTATATTTTTGTGTTTATATTTTTAGTCACATAGAAAATAACTTTTTATATATTTTATATATTATGCAACAGTTAGATAACATTAATTAGAAATTGCAGCAGAAATTGACAAGATTTATGGCTTATTTTATTTGTTGTTGAGGTAAAATTTTGATGCCTTCAAAATTGTTCTTAGATATGAATACTCATTTAGTATTCCCGTTTGCTAGTTTCCTATTATTGAGGGCAACAGCGAAACTAGATATAAGACAGGAATTTTTTAAACTTGAGATTTAAAGTTAATACTCCAATTAAAGAGACACTCATACTGTAAGGTTTTAAAAGCGATAGCAGTAGTCCTAACGGGGATGATAATGTAGAAACAAGCTGTCACCACTTAACGTATTTGACTAAGGTAAGTTTTATTCCATAAGTATTAACTGTATTGTGATCTAAACTATCGTATATATTATAATATTATATATTACTGGATTTTTTTCAAATCTTCATTCACTGCCAAAAACTGCTTTCGTTTGATGTTACTTTGTGAGTTCTCGTATTGTGTGATATTGAAACTGTAACAAGACTGTAATTAGTTGTCGAGTACATGGGCTGTGTTTGTTATATTGGTTAAGTGATGGGAATTTTTCGTATTAGTTAGTTTGACACTTGGTCTCACTTTAATTGTTGCTTGGAGACTGTAAATTACATAAATAAAAATATTTAAAATTGTAAGAATCTCACATTCATTGGCATCAGGTCCATCAAGGACTCGACTCAGTCATAGTAAAAGAACCTTTTGAAATGGTGCTTTTTTGTATATTTTGCTTTTTTTATTTTACTACTTCGTCTTTACAATTAATAATATTTTTCAACAAATCTGAATAGACAAAGGGAACAGGAAGGTTTGTGTAAAATAAAGATAGCAAAACTTATGAGTAGATGAGAATAAAGTCTGGAAATTAATTCTGTTCATGTTCATGGATGGTACCCAATTTATAACTGATAGTATTATTTATTCCCCCTATTTTCCTTGTAGTATTTCTGCATATAGAAGTTCTATTTGTTCCTTGTACTTTTTTTTTAGTTTTAAGTTTGTAATGTATGCGACAGGAAGCAACGTCAAACGAAAGAATCAAGCTTCCGACTAGACTGATTTTTTTACTAATTCTAAGTAACAATTCAATTCCAAGACCAGTGTTTAAAAATATGAGAAAATGACTTATTGCATTATCTTTGTTTCTGATCTAACTGTGGTACTGAGACATTTAACAGCTGATAAATATATGCTTAATTTTTGTAAACATCCATCATTTTGAAACATCCTTTGCAGTGTTCCTTTTAGATAAAATGAACTGTGACTTTCAAATTGAAATTTTGATTATCATCTTTAATGTCGTTGAAATATAATGAAAGTAGAATTTTTAATTGACATTTCATTTATCTTTATTGTTTACTTTAGAAAATGTTCACATAAAACCTTACGTTTATTACTATTAAATAAATTACAAAATGGCTTGCATTCTCAAAATATTTTATAGATTTCATGAATAGTATGATTAGGTTTTTTTAGTTTTTTTTAGTTTTTTTAAACGTTATCCCTACAATAGGATTTTCTCCCGTATCATGGGGGCAGTTTACAAACATAAATTGCACAAGGACAAACATCCAGACCCGGAGCAACCATTTGTAGGCCATACAAATACTTGTTCCGTGGGGGATTCGAACCCGAGACCCCCAGCACATCCACTCATTGCTAAGCCACTGCGTCACGGAGTCGTCAATTTCGAAATCACGGAGTTCACTACGAACGGTTGTCATGGTGATTAGCTGTCACAAGTGTTTGATAATTTTTTTTCCAAAAAATTTAATTATTTTTCAGCGTTTTATTCGTGTGAATCGCTGTTTTTTATTCTTCTTTTAAACTAATTTCTATCCCATGGAAGAGGGTAATGAAGAAGACAATGCTAACTTTGAGAATAGTGACCAAAGTGATTGTAAAGGTGTAAGCGATTGTGAACATGAGTGTGAAAATTCCAAATTTCTAGAGAAAAAATGGAAACCCAACATAAAATTAGTTCAGCGGAAAAAAGAAAAAAAACGGAGAACAGTGGAGAAGATAATAGTGAAGAGAGTTTTACAACAGTTACAAGGAGAAAACCAAAATGTCGTAGGAGTGATTTAACAAAAAGTGCCGACAATAATCAACTCATTGACGCATTGACAACGCCGTTAGAAATGCAACGCTTAGAAGAATATTATGAAGTTTGTATTACATCTTTGCAATGCCTTCCTAAACAAATAGGTTTGGCCAAACTACTTAAGTCAGAAAATATTATTAACATTATGAAAATTCAGTATAAAAGCCCGTATAAGGTTTTGGTTCAATTCCAGAAGTTAGAAGATGCTTATCATCTAATAAATTGTAAAAAGATTTTAGATTTGGGTTATCATTGTCGTATTGTGAATGAGACACACTTATCTTTTGGAGTTGTAAAAGGAATTGATATAGGAATTGAAGAACAAGAAATTTTAGAAAATTTGACCTCATCATGTGAAATTTCGTCTGTGAAAAGACTCAAACGCTTAGATATAAATGGTAAGTGGACAGACAGCGAAACATTTCGTTTGACATTCAAAAGTGAACAACCGTCTTCATATGTGTATGGATATGGATGCAGATTCAAGGTCGAAATCTATCACTTTCCAGTCACGCAATGTTCTGGATGCTGGAGTTTTGGACATTACGTAAAATTTTGCCCGAATAAAAAGATTTTATGTCCTAAGTGTGGAGACAGACATACAAATTGCGAAACTATTGAATACAAATGTGTAAACTGTAAAGGCCCACATATGGCACTTGATAAAGCATGCCCTATTTTTATTAAGGAAAAGAGTATTCGTAACATCATGGGTCAACAACATTTTAGCTACAGAAAAGCATTGGATATTTACTTAAAACAGACAAAACAAACTATGGATAGCCCAACATCTATGAATAAAGTACAAAAGGCTGATAAAGTACCAAGTGCTGATTATACGAAATCATATAGAGATATACTTCTAACAAATAACTACATAAATCAAAACTTATCAGATACCGAAAGTGGAGAAGAGGATACCAGTAAAGAACAAGCAACTTACAAAAACATTAAAAATAAACATATTAAAAAAGTTCCTAGTTATAACGTTAAACATTCAAATTTTTTTTTTTTTTTTTTAGTTTGGCGTTTTTTTTTTTGTTTTTTTTTTTTTTTTTTTTTTTTTTTTTCGATTTAGGGATTCTTAGCAAAAAAGAAAAGTCCATTGTTGCAACCGAGTCAGCTACGTTAAATAATGAAGAAGTGACAAGAATGGAAACTGACGCATGTACAGAAAAACAAGAGGAGAAACAAAAGATATCTAAGATATGGGTAATTATTAAAAGGGTAAAAGAAATTCTGTTCTCTGAAAGCAAAGTAGAAGAAAAGATTCTCGATATTGTTAAGTTAGTAACTGGAGAGTTGAAAATAATCTTTATGAAACTTATAATGGAAAAAGAAATATTAAATAAACTTTTAAATGCATTTAATGGATATACTATACTCCAGTGGAATGTACAAAGTATTAAGTCCAAAATAGTTAATTTTGAATCCCTGTTGATACAAGAAAAAATACATATAGCAATTGTGAGTGAAACGTGGTTGGCTGAGAGCTCGCCTCTAGGAAGTGAATATAAAATTTTTAGGAAAGATAGATGCGACTCATATGGTGGTATGGCTATAATGACACGTTCATTAAGGCATATCATTAAGTACAAGAAGTACTGGTTTAGAAGTAGTTTATGTCAAAATCTTCAATTGTAAATATCTTGAAAATGTTTTATCTATTTACTGCCCATCTACTGTTAGAACATCTTAAACTGACTGGAATAACATATTCGCCCTTTGCCCACGCAAATGTGTCATTGGAAGAGATTTTAATGCGCGTCACACCAACTGGTCTAATAAAATTAACACCAGAGGGGCACAATTATTAGACAGTTCCTTGGATTTCGGTTTCATATCAATCATAACGGAGAAGCTACCAGAATTAAACTTGTAAATGGTTGTCTTCAAAAATCTTCACCTGATATAACATTTGTGTCTTCCGATATTGCTATATACTTTAATTGGCACATTTCTAACGAAAATCTTGGTAGTGATCGTTTGATTATTAAATCTTACATTAAAGAAAAAGAAAATTCTCATCAGCTGATTGGTCCTCTTATAAAAGAAATCTTGATGCTTCATTTCAAAACCCCGTATGGACAGGTGATGTACAAAGTACGTATAACTAACATTTTGAAAAAGAGATTAATAAAGCCGCAAATGAACATATTCCTATAACTAAAATCAGTATTGACCCAGAAAAACATTTTAAGCCAAAAGTGTATTGGAACCCATCTTTATCAAAAATAGTTGCGCAACGCAGGCTAGCCTTAAAAATTTTTAGAAGAAATCCAACACCTTTAAACCTTACTAAGTTACAAGAAAAAGTGGCAGAAAGCCGAAAAATGATTAGAGAAGTTAAATTTAATAATTGGAAAAAAATCTGCAATAGTTTTGTTGAAACTACAAATACATCTGCTTTATGGAATAAAATGCGTTGGGTAAAGGGACTTAAGTCTAACAAATTCTATCCTACTGAAGAAAAGCTGAAAGATCTATTAAATAGTCTTGCTCCGGTTTCGGTACTGCCTAGAATGCCTGAATTTTCATCAGTAAATGAACAATTGGAAGTTAAATTCACTATTCAGGAGTTTGAAAATTGCTTAAAGAAGAAAGATACATCCCCCGGATTCGATGACATTTCTTATTCTATGATTTACAATTTACCTGATGTTACCAAACAGTATTTACTATATTTATTTAACATAATCTTATCAACGGGATACATACCCATGCAATGGCGAAATATTAAAATTATTCCTATACCTAAGCTAGGCAATAAGGATAAATTAAAGCCTATATCGCTAATGTCCTGTATTTGTAAGATATTTCATGCTCTTATAACGAAAAGATTAGAATGGTACATAGAACACAACAAGATATTATCCCCTTTCACCAGTGGGTTTCGCAGATTTCAATCGTGCTTGGATTGTTTAGTATGCTTAGTAACACATATTCAGCTAGGTTTTTCGAAAAATATACCTACTGTCGCCTGCTTTATTGACTTAGAGAACGCTTATAATAATGTCCCAATTGATAAATTAGTTAATGTTCTTGACAGACTTCGGGTTGGTTCAAAATTTTGTAAATATACTGTGGTCTTTTTTAACCGAAAGATATCTTGTTATAGAAAGGGAATCACATAAAGGGGAATTGAAAAGATGGGCCAGTAAGGGTTTGGCGCAGGGTGATCCTCTATCTCCCTTGTTATTTAACATTATTACACATGATATATGTAGACAAATACAAAATGTACCTATCGCTCAATATGCGAACGATTTTGTAATCTATTTGAGTTAAAAAAATCTTAACGACTGTGAGTATAACATTCAGAATGCTTTAAACTTTATAATTACTTCACTTAATAAAATTGGCTTAGATATTTATATCGCCAAGACTAAGCTTATGATTTTTAGTAGAGGTTTTAGACGCCAGGAAATTAAATTAGAACTATATGGAAAGAGAATAGTTGAGAAAGACAAAATGCGATATTTGGGTATTTGGTCGGACCGGTCATTAAGATGGTCTAAACACATTAATGAAATTAGCCAAAAGATATTAAAATTTGTAAATATATTAAAAGTATTAACAGGGCATGGTTGGGGTATCCATCCGCAGCATTTACGTAGGTCATACTTATCACTTATAAGAAGCAGAATTGATTTCGGCTGTTTTTTATATGATATGAGTGCTAATAGAAACATTTGTAAATTAGATAAAATCCAAAATCAAGCACTTCGTATTATAGGAGGTTTTATCAAAAGTACACCAATACACGTTATGGAAAGTGAATTAAATATAACGCCTCTATATATTAGAAGAAAATTTTTAGCATATAAATATTGTCTGAAAGGTAAATCTAGAACTAATAATACTACTATTAAACTATTAACAGAACTCAGCTTATTCTGTCAATGGAAGTCAAGTACTGGCAAAATAATAAGAAACCACTTCTAGCAATTACATTAGAACAAGTTAATAATAATAATGTGTATTCTTCGGATCCACTAGATATTGTCTCTTTAAATACTTGGTTATCAAGTATCAATGTTAAAAACGTAATTAAACAGGACTTAAATTGTATCAAAGGTGCTAAAAGATGGTAAATACTATAAAGTCGAATGTAATAAATGAATTAAATGTTAATTATTTCGGATGGCACAAAATTTTCTGTGATGGATCCAAAGATAAATATGGTGTAGGTGCCGCTTATTTTGACTCATTGCTGGGTAATAAAAGTAAAATTAAAATTCCTAATAATTTTACGATAATGTCAGCTGAATTAATTGCTATAAATGATGCCCTATTGTAATAGGGCTGGTACAACAAATTTTCAAAAAACAGTCATTCTAACTGATAGCAAGAGTGCTCTTGAACATATTGCTCGATGCGTCTCTGGTCTCAGAGGTGTATCGATAGCATATTCGATATTAAATGAAATATTGAAACTTCAATGTAAAAACCGTGAGTTAGTATTGCAGTGGGTACCGTCTCACATCGGTTTACAGGGCAATGAGGAGGCTGATAAGCTGGCGAAATTGGCAATCACCCAAGGAAGAGAATGTAATATTTATCCTGATTATTCAGAAATTTTAATTAAATATAAAGAGAAATGTTATACAATTTGGAAAGAATATTTTGATAAAAGATCGCAAGAAAAAGGGATTTGGTACAAAACCATCCAGAGTCAGTCTCCGAAAGTGCCTTGGTTTAATCAATGTCTGTTGAATAGAAAATATATTGCATTAGCAATGCGACTTCGTTCCGGACACATTCCGTGTAACAAGTTTGCTTTCATGATGAAAATGAAGCAATCTCCAAATTGCGATACATGCAAAACAATAGAAGATGTACAACACTTGCTCGCGGAGTGTTCCAAAAATCATCATGAAAGGAAACTATTAGTTGCCAAAACTGATATTAAAATTTGTAACCTAGGGGAATATCAAAGCATTCTGTCTGAACCATTATCTAATGCTGCTCAAATTGTTTATAACTTAGTTAATATTTTGTGTAAATAATTTAAGAAATTGTAGTTTGTTATTTAGTTATAAGGTACAATGGGACTGACATGTTTAAAATAACCTAAGTCCCTAAATTTAAAAAAAGAATTTAAAAAAAATCACGGAGTTTTTAGTGACAGTATAAACAACATATAAACAACGTAAAGAAAACCCTGTAGTTTTCGTTAAGTACGTCATCAGAATCAGTATTCAAACGTATCCTCTTACGAGTACCTATTTCTGCCAATAGCAGTATCTATTTTGCCGTGTTAAGGTCTGTAATTACAGGTTATGGGGCATTCTATCCAAGTCCTCCGAGCTTACAACGTATCTGTAACCTTCTTTGTTTACAGTTATTTGCGAGTGTCCAGGTCCATGAGCTGCAGAAGCCACTTGCCAATATAAAAATATATATTACATGTTTCAAACGAATGCTAATACATTTAAAAGTAAAACTTTATAATAGTTTTTTTGTCGATTTTAGAAAGCAAAAGGAAGACGTATTAAAGAGTTTTCGGTTGGAGCCAGTAACAATTTGTTTTGATTCGGTCCTAGCTGGCAACCCGAAATCTATAGAGAGCCGCGATACGATAAGGTATGAATTGTAAGTCAAAGTTCAGTTTATTTTTAAAAAGTTAAACGTTTTAAAAATAAAATAAATAAAATATGCGTATCGAGAGTAAATTTACTGCTAATTAATTTACAACTCTATAGTTACAGCAAAAGGGTTGGTTTTTGGGTGGATATTTTTACGTTTGTGACTTGCGACCCTTGTGCCGGTATTCAGACAAAATCTCGAGCTTAACACTTTCACTGCCCAATTTTCAGTAGAGATGGGCCGAATATTCGTTTCATATTCGGTATTCGGCATATTCGGTAGCTTTACCGAATATTAGCAGAATATTCGGTAAAGCTACCGAACATTCGTCAAAGTGGTACTCAAAGTGTCCACTGTAGTGAAATGTAGGAATTGAATAATGCCATGTCTTTCATAATTTTACTGTTGAAATTATATTTTATTTATGGGTTAAATCTACTTGTATAGCGTTATGTTTTTGAGGCAATGTAGATTTATTTCAAATTATAGCAATTTGAAATCTTGATAAAATGCTTTTGGAATCAAACAAAGAAACATTACATTACATTAGTACATTTCACTTTACTTTGGTCCTCAGTTTCTATAGGTCCAAATATTATTATCAATTTTCTAGGATATGATCTGTAGTTTGTGATCATATCCTAGACGGCCCCAACCATTACATTTGATAGACAACAAATCCTTGCAAAAGAACACCGATTCCTACCAAGGATGATACGTGGGGCTATTGAAATTAAAAAAAAAACATCCTCATTTCAATAGAGAAGGATGCTTGGTACTACCACCTGCTTGGGACCCTATAACTAATAAAATTAAAACTAAAACCAAGCATACCACTGCAGACTTCAAAACATAGTAAGTTCATTCTGCGTATATCGGACCAAAAAAAATACCAAAAAAAAGGTACTCCGGGTTTACACTGTCATCGGGACGTTAGTTACCTCAGTCCCCCGTGAGCCCGTGACCATGGGTGCTCGAAAGCACCCGAAACGTCGGGTATTAAAAATAAAATAAATTAAACGCGGTAAAATCCGTAAAAGTAGTTATAATCAAAGATGAATTTTGATATTTGTTCTTAATCACATCATTGCACTGTAAATCGATAATTTATAGTGCGTTGATATGATTACTAGAGTTTCAATGTCAGAATCAAAAGGACTTTGAGAAAGCTTAATTTCATTCGCAATGATATCAAAGTCTGAGAATCGAGTATTAAAATTTATCTTTAAAGCACTCAAAGTTTCAACTGCAAAATCAACGGGAAATTTAGTTTCTGTATTTTGTCTAAATATTTCACATGTTTTAAAATATGTGAAACGTTTTTTACGTATTTGCGATTGAAATAGTATTATTTTCTGCCTGAAGGATTTGATATTGGTGTTCTCCCTGATAAGCTGATTTTCTCCTCGCAATCTCAGTTCGTTCATATGATTTATCAAATATACATAGAATGCTCTTCCACAGTCATTCACTATTTTATAAATCAGCAAATAGGCGATGCTTCATCGAGAAATCATTCATTGAAAAATCATTCGAGAAAATGTCGATCTCTACTTGAAGTTCAAAAAAGCGCTTAAGGACTTTTCCTCAAATAAGCCAGCACTCTTTACTACTACGGCAGTATCATATGGTAAGCCATTTTCTCCAATCTCTTCAGTAAACTCGCGGAATTGTCGGTGATTCAGCCCAGTGGATCTGATGAAGTTAACAACTCATAAGACTGGTTTTAGAACTTCAGACATATCCAAACATTTTCCGCACAAGGATTGTTGATGAATGATACAATGTAAGACTAATGGTTTTGAACTATTATCATTTTCTACATTTTTACATATCAATAGTGATAGATTTCAAGTTTCTTAGCCTTAAAAATATAGACCCATTCGTGCTACAACCGTAATATAGCTGCAGCGTGGCTCTGCCACGTAAAGAACACTTCCTCCCTATCACACACTTCCTTCGTCTTTCTTACGCAAACTGACTCGCGGTTGCGTTAGTAACTTTTTAACATTGTGCTGTTTACAAAATAATTAAGTTACAGGTTACAACCTAGTACGTCTCACTGCTAAGCACAGGTCTCTTTTCCTTATAATTTGACCGATTAATACTTATTTTTATAATATAAGATTGATTGGCGCTATATTTTTTTCAATCTCATCCGTAATTCGGTTCTAGGATTGCAAAAAAGGTCAATCTTAATGTAAGTGGAATGTTTCGCCTTTAAAGTGTATATAATGTATCATTAACATCATCATTACACCCTATCAAATCGTCCACTGCTGGACATAAGCTTCCCCTATACTTATATTGTTGTATAAGGGTTGGTCATAATTGCCGCGTTCGGCAAGAACTTGCCAAGTTGGCAAGCACAGTCTTTTTTATTATTTTCAGTTGTTGTAAGAAAGATCACGTTTACTTTTCCTTCTTATTTGCAGATACGAAGTACTAAAAAAATGGGAAAAGAACACCATTAAAGAAGGAATCAAAAGTTCTGTCACGCTGTAAAATACCTTTGAAATGCGAAAAATAAAAGTCAATTTAAAAATAAAAAAATATTTTAATTTAAACAATTCAGTCGTACAATTATCTATATTAATGGATTATTTAGAATGCGTTATATACAGCGAAATTACATTTATAATATATCACATAAACACAAATATATCACATAGTCTACATACATTAAAAATATCCTACTAATATAACATATAGCTAATAATTTAGTACTCTATGGTAATGCACTTCGTCTTGAGATACTCGTTCAGCGCTTCTTGACCTGTAACAATAATTGAATGATAAATTGTGAGTCTTAAGACGAATCAGTTTTTGACGAGTGTTACTACAAAATTATCTCGGTATCTCTGACGCTACATCCATGTAGAATGCTTCAAACTAGTAATATACACCGTATTTTGGGGCACATGTATTTTAATATATTTATTTTAGAAACTTTAATATCATGTTTTTACAAAGTAACGGTTCGATTCAATTGATTAACCATGGAAAAAAAGTGACGTGGTGTTTCCTGAAGTCGAAGTACACGTGTTTACGTAGTACGTATAACGCAGTCCTGTATATTCATATACAACACGAATTAGTTAGTGAACTAGTGCGGGGAGCGAGGAGCAACAAGTGTATGTACCGAGGTCCTTTCCGAAGCCGGAGCGCTTGAAGCCGCCGAAGGGCGCGGCGACGTCGGTCTTGTTGTACGTGTTCACGAACACGGTGCCGGCGTCGAGGCGCTCTGCGAGCTCGAGCGCGCGGCTCACATCGCGTGTGAACACGCCGCTCGCCAGTCCGTACTCGCTCGCGTTCGCGCGCCGCACCACCTCATCCACCCTCCTGATTACATTCGGTAAATTATATTACAGTAAATTTTTTATAGAATAAAGGTGACAAACGTGCACACAGTCTACCTGATGGTAAGTGGATGTTGTGACCCATAGTCATCTACATTTACCCTCGATTAAGAATCAAAATGTAGATGCATTGTCACCCCTGAGGACTAAAATGGAATACCTCGTTTCCAGTAAAACAGGTCTTCGATTCTCTACACTCACCTCACGAAAAAAAGCATCATTAAGCTGTTATATTACTGTTACGAGCTTAGGGTTCGTGACAGTTAAAAACTGCCGATTGAATTATTAAAATTCACACTTTAATTACCGAACACCAACATAAAACGTATTAATAATAAATCACTTTAATTCGTAGTTATATCACTTTGAAGTATCTCTTGAATCGCCAATTCAATACTGACTCGGTCGCGGTCCTTACTGACCTTATAGGGCCATATAGGGCCTTTTCCACTGAAATATCTAGAATGTTCGAGCACATACCGGTCCCGACCTATTAGGTGTAGAAAGTTCCAGTATGGAATTTTCTAGAAAGCTCTCCTAGTTCTACTACTCGATACTAGATGGCACAAGTGGCATTAATTACGGCGTGCAAGCTGGTAATGCCTTCATTAGAGAGCGTGATCCTCCCTCAGTCGAGTCGTCCCATCCGTGCTGCAACCATAATATATTTGCAGCGTGGCTCTACCACGTATAAAAATAATTAAACTTTAAAAAAGTGGAAAACAACTACAGATAAGTAAAATGAATGTGATTATCGAAATTGGTTGACTTAGTAAAGAATATTCACCCATATGGCGTGCAGATATGTCTTTTCGAATTGAAGAATTTGGTCGTTAAATTATAATTGAAATCAGACAACGTGGTAAAGAATTATCGCGGAATATATATAAAAATGTTACGTCGAAATGAAAACTTCCTCATTTTATTAGGTCGATTGAATACTAAAGCTACACGCATTGATCATGTGCTGTGATAGTCCTAGTTAAGTGTAGGTCATCAGGTCATCATGGTCATGGAATTATTGCATTGTCGCTGATTTTTCATACGTCTGCAAAATTTCCGATGATTAAAATGTCGATAAGTGTGTAAAAACTGAATATAAATTTCCATTACATTCATATATACATACATACACATACACATAGCATACATACATAAATACTGTTGCGCGCCACAGTAGATGGCACTAGCGCCATCTGGTATCAAGTATCAGAAATAGGAGTGTCAAGATCTTTCTAGAACTCTCTCAACAGCACCGTTTAGTATTGAATAGAAGAATTAAGCTTTCTAAAAAAGTCCACACTCGAACTTTCTGCACTTAGTCGGTCGGGACCGGTATTTGCTGTAACATTCTGGGTGTTTCAGTGGAAAAGGCCTATTTAAGGCCATTAGAGGCCGCGACCGGGGTAGTATTGAATTGGCGATACGAGCGAAGCTTTCGAAGCGAAATAAAGTGAACTAAAGTGTTAAGTGTGATTAATTATTAGTGTGTATTAGTTTTAATTGGCGTTCGGTAATTAAAGTGTCAATTTTGGTAATTCAATAGGCAATTTTTATTGTCACAAACCCTAAGCTCGTAACAATACATATGTACATACATGCATACATCATATAGACAAACCTTATAAAAGTGTGTTATAATTAAAGTAACACTGTGTTTAATATACATTATAATACTGTATCGTTATCATCATCATCGTTACCTATGTTCAGCATGACTTCGATAGGCTTTACAAGTCCACTAATGAACATAGGCTCAAGGAATGCCACCTGCATCCATCGACTTCCTGCATGTTTACCAGATCGTCATTTCATCTAGACTGCACATGCCTTTCAGAAATTATAGTCATATGCAGTCTAGATGGGTGGACAATTCCTGAGAGGATTTTAAAGTGAGGTCATGTCACGTCCTATGGGAGTTATGGTGCATAGACATCTACATCTATCCTCCATAAATATGTGATAGGGCCACGCTCCAAGATGATACCTGCGTTAAAGCGCAGGAAAGACTACGCAGCAATAGGATACCAGCGTAAAACAGCAGCATAATTTGAATTTCTTCTGTATCTTGAAAGCGTTTTACAAACTAAAACACATGGCCTTATAGTAGCCAGACATGGGATTTTTAATTTTAGGCCGTATAGGTATTTTTAAGTGCGGGAATAGAACCCGCTACCCGTAGCGCCGCCTGCGCTACCGCGACGTCATTTATTGGGTACTTGACTACCTCGTTAGTATAGTGGTCGCGTAAACGCGACTGCTAATCTGTCCCGGGTTCGAGTTCCAGGTTGGATCAAAAATCAGTTATTGAGATTTTCTGTCAAATTGTCAAATTCTCAGAAGCAGCCCCAAGTTAGGAAGTTGGCGGTGGTTCACTCCTGTAAACCCTGTCCCCTCGGAAAGCACATAAAGCCGTTGGTCTTGTGTCTGATCTCTTGCCGGTCGTATCGGTTTACCGTCTCATAGGACTGTGAGTGTAAGGGAATAGAGAATGAACCTGTGCTTGCGCATACATAAGTCGAACACTATAATTCTTTTCCGCGCAGATGGCTAGTTTCCGTTGAGACAGGCTGACATTAATCGAAACTCAGTCTGGAGAACATTATAGGAAATTTAATGGTCTACGTTTATAAACATACTTGAGTTCGGCTGTCGTAATGATATTTAATTCTCGCGTAAGAATGTTATTAAATAATGATATTGTATACGCACTTGCTGCTGAACTTGCTGATAATCATGATGGGTCCAAATGACTCCTCTTTTGCTATAAACATGTCGTCAGTGACTTCGGTAAACACGGCCGGCATGAAGAAGTAGCCCTTTCGGTCCAATCGTTTCCCTCCGTAAACCAATTTAGCGCCCTCCTTTACTCCTCGCTCGCAGAACTAGAAAAGAACAAACATAATAATATTTTTATAAATTGATTCAAGAATCAAGGCAAAGTAAAAAACTATAAGAAATCTTCTTTTCTAGCACGTATCATTTACATTTAATTTTGGGTGATAAACGAGCACACAGTCCATTTATGGTCAGTAAATACTGTGGCCCATAGACGTCTACACCTATCCTTCATAAAAATGGAAATGCAGATACGTTGTTAACCGTGAGGATGAAGCTCGAAGGCCTCGTTTCCAGCAAAAGGGGTCTCCGGTTCTCTACACTCACCATATGAAATACAGTCGTATTAAGCTGCTATTTTAAGCTTGTATTTTATAATAGTGCGTTTCTTCCCTGGTTGAGCAGACTCACTCGTGCTACAAGCATAATACATCTGCAGCATAGCTCTATCATCGAGTATATTATTATGATTTATGTTCAGTAAATTTATAATAATTTACAGTTCAACTAGATTGCCAGGCAGAAGTTGTTCTGCCCTTTTCGACGACAATTTGTCATGTCCTATTAAAGATCCTTGATCCTCCTAGTCTTGAACCAAAAATTGAAATACGTAGAGGCGTGAAACAGGGGGACCCGCTATCCCCCACTATATTTATATCTATCTTACAGTATATAATGAAAGACTTACATTGGCAACATAAAGGTATCAGCATAAATGGAAAAAATTTGAGTAACCTTAGATTCGCCGATGATATAATACTCTTCTCGAAATCATCGAAACAACTAGAAGAAATGATTTCAGAACTATGCAAAATAAGTAACGGAATAGGATTACAACTAAACACATTAAAAACTAAGGTGATGACTAACTACAGGCAAACGCCTATACACGTTAACAATTTACAGAGCTTAGAATACGTAGAGAGCTACATATACCTAGGGAAATCCATCTCATTTCTTAATTCTAGAGACAAAGATGAGATTGACAGGAGAATAAACATGACATGGAGAAAGTTCTGGAGCTTAAAAGATATTTAAGTCTAATCTACCTGCAAAACTGAAAAAGAAAGTCATGGATGGATGTTTACTATCCTGCTTGTCATACGGATCACAAACCGGGATCTATAACAAATATACGACAGACAGAATACAGAAGACGCAGCGGGCTATGGAAAGGAGCATCTTGAATATTAGGCTGAAGGATAAAATAAAATCAGAAAACATAGGGAAAAAAACCAATGTCATAGATGCTCTACAACATATGAGAAAGCTCAAGTGGAAGTGGGCTGGCCACGTAGCACGACTGTC